AAGTTGGATGATTCAGGTAAAGGTAAATAAAGCAAGTGCTTTCTGCTGCTCTTTGCAGCCTTAAGGCCTCTCTCATTGACCAGGGGAGGTATCAGTCCTGTTATGGGGACGCCATGTTCCTTCTTCATGGCTGGTCCTGAGAACGAGCCTTTGCCTCCTCCGTAATTGGCTTAGGGCATGCCCCTTAGCTCCCCTCCTCCCTTCCCCATGGTGTTCCCCTGCTTTCCAGCAAACTCAGATAAGCAGTTAGAGTAGATAGACGTTGCTAGATGAGAATGTTTTCTGGAAGTTGTGAAGGCTTGACAGGAATAAGACTGTCCCTTTCCTCTCACACGCTTTATGGGAGAAATAGATACTACAGCTTGTGTTGGGTGTCTTTTACCAGCTGATAACCCATTCATTCATTTAGCAACATAGCAATACATTATTTTCTATCAGTTGAATTTGTACCTGAAATTACCATTTTTGGTGTACTAGGCCATAATACGCAGTGGCCCAGAGGGGAAACACAACCATTTCTTGGGAGAGAAAAACTCTCTAATTCTCCCTCTGTGGGAAGGGCACTGAGGAGGTTCTGGGAAGGTCAAGGAACATTGCTGCCTGTCCCTGTTTCTACGTGTAGTTACCAGGCTGGGAGCAGGATGGAGCCCGCAGACAGGAAGGGGAAGGTGGACCTGAAGGCCTCAAGGTAGGGAGGGCTGTGTGTGGACAGCAGCCCTCTTGTTCTCGACACTTCTGATTCCATGGCAGGGCTCCTGTGGGACCAGGACAGCGCCTGGTTCCCTTCCTGGACCTGTGGGCTGGAGCTGAGTGGCTATTCACCTGTTGAAGGGAGCCTGCTCTCTTTTCTGAGAGGATTGTCTTAGTGTCGTATTCACGGCTGGCTTTTGACTCTAAACGTGGTTTAAAATACAGCAAGCATTTGAAAGCATTTCAAGGGAAAGCAGAGGGGAGGAGGAGGAGCACAGGGACAGTGGGAGCTCCTCTGACCAGCTCCCACTTGGAGGACAGGGTGGGAGGAAAATGCCCTCATCGTTCAGAGACTGCTGGGGACAGAGGGCTCTGTCCTTTCGGTACTCATAGTCTAGATCAGGGAACAGAAGCAGCTTAGCAGTAGCTCTGGGTGAGGCCATGAGCGGAGGGGCTGGGAGCTGGTTGCAGAAAGGCTGCCGGAGCCTGCTGGGCTCAGGAGATGTGAAGGGCATGTGAGGCAGAGGGGAGGTAGCCAGGGGTGTCCTTCTGTGACTTGAGTATAGTGGAAGACCCACTTTGTGCTAGCATGTGCTCTGTCAGAGACACTTGCGGCTGGCGTTGATGGCTGTTGTGAAAGAGTGTGCAGGAGGTGGTGTGGACATTTAACAGGAGACCCGGGCCAGCCCCAGGGCCAGGAAGGAGCCTTCCAGGAAATGGTCAGCTAGCTGAGACTTGGGTGAGGGGGCGTTCACCAAGTGAAAGTTTAAAAAAATTTTTTTAAAGGTACATTTTCTTTAAGATATAACAACACTCAAAGCCTTAATAATTCCATCTCAGTACATAAAAAACAGTAAATGATGCAGAGTAAGGCACAGTTAGGCTTCTCCACATGACATACCTGCTAGGCAGTCAGTTCTCAGTCTTGTTTTATTTTCCAGCAGCATCTGACAGTCTGCACTCTCTGATCTTTGCAGTCCTTCCTTGACTTGGTACCATCTACACACAGGCTGTTCCCAAATGTATGTCCCCAGCCCAGAGCCCTCCCTTGGACTCCAAATCAATTCATTTATCCACTTGGATGTCTGACTCTTGAACTTAACATGTCTCAAAACTCAACCCTTGACCTTCTGTCCAAACCAGACCCCTCCTCCTTAAATGACAGCTCTGTCCTAGCCATTGTGTGGCCACAGACCCATGCCCTGGACTCCGCTCTCACATTTCCCGTGAGATCAGTCCACTTGGAATCTGTCCAGTCTGTCTACTTCTGGCCACTTCCACTGCTACTGCTGTGCTCCAACTCCGCCAGGATTCTTAGTAGTCGCCCCTAGCTGGTCCCCCTGCTTCAGTCTCTGTTCCCCTACAGGTTCTTCTCAACACTGCTTGATTAGCCCCTCTGTTTCCTCTTTCAGAGCAAAAACTAGAGACCTGGTGATGGCCTGGAGGGCGCTGCTGGTTCGGGGCCCTTCATCTCTCTCAGCACCTCCATTCACTCTGCCTTTGCTGCTTTGTGCCCGGGCAGCTGCCTTGCTGCTCCGTGAACATGCCGCTTGCTCCTGCCTCGGAGCTGCTGGACTCGCTCTTTCCTCTGCTGTGCATTCCCAACACACTGTCCTGGCCCACTACCGCCTCTTTGGGGGCTCACAGGAATGTCACTTTTCAGTGAGGCGTTCTTCCTCGATCACCCTAAGTGTGTGTGCACGCACATCCACACGTGCACACGCCTCTGGGCAGTCCCTGTTTTCTACCCCTGCTTTTATTTTAGTCATCATCTGACATGCACTGTGTTTTACTCGTCTCCTCTGCCCTGAGGGCACGGCATGCTGTGCTGTGCTGGATACTCGTGTCCTCGTCACCAGAGGACAGTGACAAGTAGGTTTCAGACAACATTCATGATGAGTGGACTGACTTGCCTGGAGTCAGAAGGGCTCAGACCTCAGCCGCATATCTCAGGAGAGGTGGCGCCAGGGCTTGTGGTGAGGCTCAGCATGTGGGTGTCGTGGGGTGTTCCGGATCATTCAGATGACGGTTTCAATTTGTAACATTCAGTACCTGTCTAAAGCAGTTTATAGAGACCCACACACAAATCTGAACTCAAGAATATTATGCTAAATGAGAAAAGATAAAAAGATGAAGTTACTTAGTATGAGTTTTGGGGGGAAGAAACAATTTTATGTGGAAGAAATCTCTTCTATTGTTACTCTGCCACTTCTTTGCCTGTAGCTACTCTATTTTTCCCATCAGTTTTTTTTCTTGAGACTGCTTTTAAGAGGAAGTAAGAGCTTGATTTTCATGTAAGAGCTGGTACACAAGAGGCAGCGGTGTGGATTAGTTCAGTTCTTTTTTTTTTATTATGTTGATAAGTGTGTTCACTGGATACAATTGAGAATATTCTCTAGATTGAGGATAGAAACAAAAAATGTCTTTGGTCCTTCTTTAATCATGTTTTTTAGACTGATGAAATGGTTTTTGAAATAGTAAGAAGCTCGGGCTGAACGCCTGTTGTGACTTTTTAAAACAGAATTTCCTACCAAGGCCATGGTGGTATGTTGCCTTATAGCAGTGACATTGGAACAGGCACTTTGGAGTCAGGCTCCAATCTGGCTTTGTCACTCACTGGTGGTAGGATCTGGGGCTGTTTGATCCTGATGCTCAGTCCCTCAGGTAAAATGAGATAAGAGCTGTCTCCCAGGGTGGTTCAGTGCTGGGTGTGGTGTGTCTGGGTGCCTAGGGTAGTGAGTGGTGCACAGCAGGCCCTTGGATTCCATTGTTTTTATGACGGAAGGGTTTTCTGTGGCCTCTGTCTCCCTCTTCCATCATGAGTCAAGTGAAATCTAAATGGTGTTGCCTTCCTTGAATCTCTCTGAGTTTAAGGTACTGACAAAGCTGAGGGTTACTTGTCTAACTAGCAGGTACAGGCTGTGTTGAACACGTGTCCTCTGTTCCTCTGGGTCCTGGAGGAAAGCCTGCTTCTAGGGAAGAGTGCCCTGTCCGGGGAGAGTTCCGTTTAAACTGCATCTTGGAGTTCAGTGCATACAGAAAGCCCACGCCCCTGAATGTGTGAGACTCTCCAGTGTGGTGTAATGTTTCTGGTGGAATCTGTTGCAGGAAAATTAAGAGTCATGGTGTGGAAGGTTTAATGGCATTGCCCCCTGACCAAGCCATCCCCTCAGTCTAAGTCCAGCACCCAGAGTTCAGGTGCTTTCTGGCCCCAGTTATCTCTAGAGTTGGCATGGGAAATACTGAGGTCTGTGGAAGAGTGGTTTTCCAGGAGGGACAGAATGTCCCCCACCCAGTTGGAATCACCACTATAACAAGTACAAATACTGATGAAAAAGTATTGAGAACCACTAACATATACGGAATCCTAAGGCGCATTGGGAACTTGTCAACCCACTTACTCAGTGAAGATAGTCAGACCTGTACTGGATGCTGAGGATCGGGATGAACTGGGCAGTCTCCCTGAGGAAGACACAAGCAAGCACAGTGTGTGTGGTAAGCACCAGGGCAGGAAGGAGCCTCTGGCTGGCTCTAGGGGCGAGGAGACACCCTTGTGGATGGCACCTGTGCTGGGTCTCACAGCTGAGGTAGGGGGAGGGGGTGATTCACCAAGAGCCAGTCTGGCCTGTGTCTCGACCTACACTCCTGCTTACGCCTGGTGAGCAGTCAACCACTCAGGATTGTATTTATTAGGTAGTTTGGATTGTCATTATAATTCTTAAGGGAATACATACCTGTATCACACTTTTCCAATTGATGATTTGCATTGTTGAAGTGTAAGATCAGATTTTTGTAATCCACAGTCAGATTTATTGGGAAAAATTTCCATTGTTCCTTTGCTGACCCCTACTGGGAGAAAAGTGTACAGTCCTCTTCAGAAGTAGTGTGTATGTGTGTATGCTGCAGTGTGAATTTCAGTTTACCATTTCGATCCCCACCAGACTCTAAGCTCTGTAAAGGCAGGTATTCTGTCTTAACCGTTGTATCCAGCACCTACCACAGAGTAATAAGCACATAGTAGTTGCTCAATAAATATTTGTTGCAAGGAGGAGTAATCAGTATCAGTAATTCAGAAGTTGTACAGTGTTTGAGATTCTGTGTGGAAGCTGATAATGCTGTGTTCTATAAAGTTTTTAAATTAGCCTTCAGAATGAATGCAGACCTAGTCTCTCCCCCCCGCTCCGCCCCCCACATAATGTATGAAAGTGACTAGCTCGTGGAGTGTTTTTCGGCAGTCAGACTGGAATTGAGAATTCAGAGTTCTTTCTTTGTACCATCCGAAATCTGAAAAATTCCAACTTTTCCCCCAGGATCTTTACCTTGTATAGTAAATCTTTGCCCCTTGACTTGGCCTGTCGTATCTGGGATGTATTCTGTCGAGATGGGGAAGAGTTCCTGTTCCGCACGGCCCTGGGTGTCCTCAAGCTGTTTGAGGACATCTTGACCAAGATGGACTTCATTCACATGGCCCAGTTCCTGACCAGGCTGCCCGAGGACCTGCCTGCAGAAGAACTGTTTGCCTCCATTGCTACAATTCAGATGCAAAGTCGAAACAAGAAGTGGGCTCAGGTAAATGTGACTTCTGTTCTCTTTTTCCCATAGAATAGTGACACAATTACATAATTTAGGAAGGATGCTATTTAAAGTGCTCCTGGAGAAGATGGCCATCTTTGACATGGTTGGGCTGGATGTGAAGAGAGACGGGTTTGAGGCTTGGTTCTGCCACAGGGCATCTCAGGCAAGTCATTTCCTCTTGAGTTTCTGTGAGCTGGAGGGGCTGTGGATAACAGAAACCTTTCTATCCCTTCTGCAGTGGCACTGGGAGGAAGGGTCAGACTTCTAGTTTGCCATTGTAGTGCTCTCTACTGTTAGGAAGCATTTTTGTAAGCCAAGCGCCCCCCACCCTTTTTAAAGTAATGCCAGAGATAGAATGCAAAGGGACTAACTAACTGAGCTCCAGGACTGTGGGCCAGGCCCTGTGACAGGCTATTGTGTACTTCATGAAGTGGGTGGTATTGTCCCCATCTTTAACAAAGGAAGGCCCAGAGAGGTAGCTGTCGCCTGATGAGGGTGCAGGGCCCTGCAGCTCCTCCTTTCTGATGTGCTGCTGTGGCCCCCGGCAGCTACCTCCAGCTTGGGCCTGCTTCTGGATTCCTGGGATCTCCGCTGGACACCCCTCTTAGGTCTCGTCCCCTGTAAGATTGCCCGGTGTTGTCTGGCTCCAGGTCTTTTTTTTTTTTTTAAAAAAAAAAGATGACCGGTAAGGGGATCTTAACCCTTGACTTGGTGTTGTCAGCACCCCGCTCTCCCAAGTGATCTAACTAGCCATCCCTGTATAGGGATCTGAACCCTTGGCCTTGGTGTTATCAGCACCACACTCTCCCAAGTGAGCCACCCTTGACTTGGTGTTGTCAGCACCCCGCTCTCCCAAGTGATCTAACTAGCCATCCCTGTATAGGGATCTGAACCCTTGGCCTTGGTGTTATCAGCACCACACTCTCCCAAGTGAGCCATGGGCTGGCCCCTGACTCCAGGCTTTATCACACTAAAAAGGAAAACATACCAGCCTTGGCTGTGATTCCTGCACATGCTCAGTTTGCCTCCATTTTAGGTCCTAGTTGGTTGATATCTGTGGAGGCTCATACTCTTCCATATATGCCACATAGTGCCTGTTCTTCATGGAACTTAATTTTATTTTTATTTTTTCAATCTTTGTTTTTGTTTGTTTTTTTGGCAGTTGGCCAGTATGGGGATCTGAACCCTTGATGGTGTTCTTATCAGCACCACGCTCTAACCGAGTGAGCACTGATTTCACTTTTTTATTAATGGAAGATTTAAAATATATACAAAAATACAATGAATTAGCCTAGCAAATCCCCGTGCACCTGTCATCCGGTTTCAGTAACTGTTGATGCGTGGCCTGTCTAGCTTCAGCTGTACTCCCAGCTGCGTCTCCTCTCCAGAAGTATTTTGAAATGAGTCTTAGGCAGCATGTCATCTGTAAATGTTATGGATCTCTCTCTAAGCCATAAGGGCTCTTTTAACATAACTACAATACTGTAATCACTCAAAAAGTTACTAATCCCTTCCTATCATCAAATATACAGTTTTCAAATTTCTAATGGTTTCAAATTTTGTAATTGGCTTTATAGTTTGAAATGTGATCCAGATAAAGTCCCTGCATTATTAGATGACCTTTCAAATCTTTTTTTTAATATGTATGCCACTCCACCTTCTTCCCTTTTATCCCTCTCTCCTTCTGCTTTATTTCTTGAAGAAAACAGTTCATTTTTTATATAACGTTTTCCACAATCTGGATTTTTCTGGTTGTATAATTTGTGGTGTGTTTTACACGTTCCTCTGTATTTATTGTAAATTGGTAGATCTAACGATTTTGTCAGATTTCAAGTTTGTGGGGTTTTTTTTGGCAAGATTACTTCCTAGGTCATCAGGCTGTCTCTCTTTGATCTTAGTTAGCATCCTATTTATTTTTATAACAACTTTATTGAGATTTCCATGGTATGTATGCATACCATAAAATTCACGCTTTTAAAGTGTACAGTTCAGTGCCTATTTATTTATTTACCAGAGAGAAGTTTGTCCCTCTCACCTGGGCCTTCTGTTGGGCCTCCCAAGCTTGCCTGTTTTGTGATGCTCTGTCTGGCTGTGGACTTTGTCTCTTGGGAAGCAGCATGGCCACTGTAACGTGACCTTGAGTAATGCCATGAAATGCTCCCCCAGTTTTACTAGCTGGGGGGGAGGTGCTATTTTGTGCCTAAGGTAATGCGAGTTATATTTCTGAATTATTAAATACGTGCAATTTATAAAAAGGAATGAAGTACTGGTTCATGCTACAACATGTGTGAACCTTGAAAACATGCTAAGTGAAAAAAGCTAGACACAAAAGACCATATATTGTATGACTCCATTCATATGCAGGTCCATAACTAGGAAATCTGTAGAGGCAGAAAGTAGATTAGTGGTTGCCTAGGGCTGGGGGTTGGGGGAGGAAGATGGGAGGATAGGGGAGCCATCCTAAAGGTATAGAGATTTCTTTATTTCTAAATTTGACTGGTTGAACATATCTGTGAAGATATTAAAAACCATTGAAGTGTACACTTTAAATGGGTGAGTTATATGGCACATAAGTTACATCTCGACAAAGCTGTTAAAGTATACTCAGCTCACGTGGGAGCAGGACTAGCTCCAAAGTCATCAGGGATCCAGTGAGAGGGAAGAGCCTTTCTCTGGTTACTAAATACACAGACAGTGCAAATGGAAATAAGTGCAGGGCCCTTTGTATGAAAGTTAAGAATTTCAAGATTGCAGCAGAAGAGTTTCAAGCCAGCCAGGGCCCTCTGAGGGCCATGTGACTGCACTGCGCATGCGCTCCTAAAGCTGGCCCTGTGAGTGGGTTTGCTTTGGAATCTCCCGTGACTCAGTTGCTCATAGTGGTTTTCTGAAGTAGCTACAGAAAGCCAGGGTCTTGCCTAATGGCCTTTATTCAACGTGTAGGACTGTTCCTATCTTGACTTTCCAACTGGCAAGTCATGGCCTGCTGGCTTGTGAGATGAAGGCTCATTCCCCTCCCATGCCATGCACACATTGCATACTCACACATCACATGCACACTCACTGCACACATCGCACATGCACATGTATGCATTGCATGTGCACACATTGCACACACATATTGCACATGCACACACAGGGGTGGAGTAAACCCAGATCTGCCGTTTTGCTTCTCATATTTTAGGGACTAGTAAAAACTATTGGTTAAAACTATGTCAGGGGTGGTTTGAATAGTAGGACATTTTCTAATTAATGGGATAGTGATAAGATTGGGGTGAGGGGGGACATGGGCATCAGCGACCTATAAACAGTTTCAGGTCTCATGGGAATTGTGGGCCTAAGATACCCTTTTAAAGAATTAAATGCTGTGCTGAAGTTTAAGACACTAGTGAGCTTTTTCAAAACAAGTGTTTGTTTAGTTAGCAATCCCATTTACTTAGAGGTGGAGGAGGACTTTTATCTACCCTTATTTGTTTTGTACAACTTATTTGAAACCTACATGAAATGTTTCTGCTTTATTCCTTGTAATCTGTGACCGAAAGTGGCAATAGTACCTGGCCCCAGGCCGATGAGTATGATGCTAACAAGATTCCATTGGTTTTGAAATCAAACAAATCTGAGTTTGGATCCCTGTGAGCTGTCTGACCTTGAAAGTCACTTCTGCAAATGTCCATTGTTCAGGTCCCTTATAAAAGGGCATTAATCTTCCTGAGATTGTTGTGTAGATTAAGCAGATAGGTGCATGAAGTGGGTGTTCAAGATGTGGAGCCTGTTATTGTCACTACTGCTGTTAAGCAGTCATAATGGAATGGAATATTATTTAAAATAAAGGTGTTATCCAACAGCTGTGAGAACACAGAGGAGGGAGAAGAGGCAGTTTGGGAAGCTCAGGCAGGCCTCTGAGAAGAACTGACATCTGTTAGGGCTTGAAAGGCTGTACAGTTTCTTGATGAGGAAGGGACAGGACAACAGGAGCAGTAGTGTGTAAAGGCATGAGGCAGGTAGGAGGGGCTGTTACATCCTGGAGTGGAAGCTGGGGCTCTGATGATGAGGAGTGCAGGGGCTGCAGCCAGACTCTGGAAAGAGATGAGACCCACAGCCCTGCTTCCATGTTGGTTCCTTGGCTCGTGGGGTGAGTGTAGCCCGGAGACCTCATGGTCGGGTTTCCATGTTAGAAACATCACTTTGGATGCAGGGGTGGAAGCTGGCCTAGAGGGCACAAAAGCGATGGAAGTGGGGAATGGAGAGACCAGTTGGGAGGTGGCTGCTGTTTCTCTGGGCTGTTCCTGTCAGTGTCTCTGTGCTCAGTGTGTATTGCAGATTAACCACAGACATCTTCCCTGTGATTCCTAGGTACTGACTACATTGCAGAAAGACAGCCGGGAAACGGAGAAAGGAAGCCCATCCCTCAGACACTGACGCTGCAGAAGCAGCACGTGCTCGGCACTACAGCAGATCTCCACGCAGCACCTGTGTTGTCTCAGATCGACACCCTGGCAGCCAGGGAGAACCGGGGCTCTTTTCCTAACACTAGAGCTGGCCTTAAACAAAACAAAGCAAAACAAAAAAAACTTATAAAGAATTAAACCAAGGCTTAGCCTTAAGAAGCTCAGTGGTATGATGACCTAGTGTTGACCTTTGCCAACCACTGCATTTTCTGCATGGGATTAAGATAGGGCAGTGGCTGACTGCCACCCTCTCCTTTATTTCAGCAAAAGTTAATTAAATTGTAATGCTTTTATGTCAACTACTGGAAAGTACATTACAATCTTTCTTAGCCAGGATGCATGAGATGTTATTTGGGAGACCTCAGAGATGTTATTGGCTCATAATTACATATTTTAGGTAAGAAAGGGATTGCTAATTTAGTTACTGAGATAATCTTTCCAGAGCTGGAGGTCATGTTTTCAAAACCCACTTACCAAAGATAGCATTGAAGGAGAATGGGCTCTTGTAGGACAGTCGCTGGTGAGTGCTCATGGGCTCCCTGGGAACCGACCTGACCTCGGGTTGACATTTTACCATGTTGCCTTGACAAAATTATAGCAGGAAGGGTGGAAATGCACAGTTAGATTCCAGTGGGAGCCTGTTCCAGAGATTGTCTCCTGCTTCTCTTGAGCAATGGTGAAAAATAGCAGGAGGTGCTAATTGCAAAGAAGGCCTGAGGCAATAGAGATAGGCTTAAGAGCTGGTGGAAACAGCAGTGCAGACAGCTCCCCTTTAAGGAAAAGGTAGGAAAAGGGGATGTTAAGACTTGCCACTCTTCACCTTGCTGTTTCCATGGAGGCCAGGGTGTGGCAGGTGCGGTCCGTGGAAACAGCACAGTGGGGGAGGTTGCTCCCTTGCTCTTTGCCTTTGTTGCCTGAACCATCAGATCAGTCCTAAGTGCCGGTGATTCCCTGCTCACACAATTGATTTTGAAATATGTGCTTCACAAACCCTTGTAAGGACTGAGATTGAGCGGCACATACCTGGCAGCCCAGATGGTCTTGTCAGAATTCTCAGTAGCTGCACCATTAGCCTATCCCCGTTTTAGCTGATTTTCCCAAGTTCACTGGCACAGTTTTTGTTCTAGCTTTTCCTTGACTAATTTTGAGAACTTTGTATAAGAACTTGGGTTATCTGAATTCACAGACATGAACAGTTTTTGCATGGAATAGTCCAAAGGACGGGCCAGTATCTGTGGAAGCAAGTTCCCACGTGGCAGTGCACTGGCGTGCTGGACTGTGGAAGTGCTCAGTGGACCAGGCTCATGGCACAGTGAGGCGGACGTGAGTGCCTCAGAGTGGTCTGCACACTTCAGCCCTTTTCAGCCATACTCCTCACCCCCAGGCATACCCCCCATGGTTGATCTAGCTTCTGATGTGGGGGAGTCCTTGGCTCTGACCATGTAGCATGCAACTAGGAGACTTGGCCAGGGGTCGGGGGGATAAAGCCTAACTATGGCATTATTTTTCTAGGTTTTCTATATCTGCCATACCTGCTAATGATCTTTGCAGGTGCAATAGCAAGTAGCCAAGCTGGCGGTCACCCTCATGCCCTCCATCCCAACTCTGTACCATGTGTCGTTCTCCTTTGTCCCCTTATATTCTTAACTGAATTCCCCAGGGAGGTTGCAGGGCATCATGGATACCACTTTCTGCCTCAGCCTTTAGATGCTGACCTGCCTGACCTCTTGGAGGCAGCATTCGACATCTTTGCTGGGGGTCTCAGCAGCCTCCAGACCTCGCCATTCCCTGATGGCAAGGTGTTGAATGACAGAGCCAGGGCCTGTGGGAGGTGCACTGTCCTGCCTCACAGATGTACTTATTTTTGTTCCACGATGTGGGTGTTCTGTTCTTTAAAGATGTATATGTTTTTTTTACTGTACATAAAGATTTCCTTAAGTCATACAGAAAGCGATGTGGCAGGGGCCTTGGGTTTGTTGTTAAGAGTGCGCTTGTGGAACTTCATAGTATTCAAACCCATCTCTTTAACGTTTCTTGTCAAACAGTTTAACATAAATCTCTTTGGATAGCACCACGTATGCATTAAGCTTTTAAACAGGATTCCATGCCAATATGGAACACTGACCAAATCTTCAGCTCAGATGGGGTTTTCATGACCTGGTCAGGGATCACATGCGGTCTTGCCAGTTTGATTCGTCCTCTTCAGAGGTTGGAAAGTTCTGAGTCCCCTTCCAGGGCCACCTAGCCCCTTTCCACAGAGGGCTGCTGAGCGCACAGTCACACATCTGTTTATTGTTTAGGGAAATGAAGCAGATGCGGACGTGTGCAAGTCTGCACTTGCCACCCCACGTGCCGCTGATGCTCCGAACCTCAGAGGCAGGCTCGCAGCCGCTGTACGGCCTGCACTTCAGAGTCGGGAGCTGTGTCTCCCCCAGTCATTGAAATCCCATTTAGAAACTGTGTTCACTTCAAAAGGTACTTTTTAACTGCCCAGTTTTTGACTATTTTAAATAGTTTGCTGATAGGAAACTCCTGATAACACTTGCTACATATCATGTTTTAATTGCTTGTACAGTTAACCTTTAATTTTATTTAGTAAAGTGTATCGAAGAAGGACTTTTTGAATTGTAAATATGTGGTTTTATTAAATAAAAGTCATGTAAAATTGTTACTTATGTTCACTGTAGTTTGGTTTAAAGTTGAAGTTCTCATTTGGCAACATGGCAGAAATTTGACTTTGAGCATTATGCTGTTTGAATATTTTAAAATCTTGGTAGGCTTGCTAACCACAAAGTGCAGTTTTGTAATGCAGTCAGGGGCTTCAGGAGTTTGGTGCCCCTCTCCCCGTTGGAGGGAGACCCCCTGCCTTTCACCTCCCCTCAAGCTTGGCTCCACCTGCGGCTTTGACCCCCATTGCCCCCACCATGCCTTGGCCATACCCACCACTCACTCCCGAGCCTGCCGCATCTATCCTAGCATGCAGTAAACGCTTACTCTGTGCCAGCCAATGGGGATGGGTCAAGGGTTCTTCACATCCCCCTCGGAACCTTCTCAAAAGCCTGTAAACCAAGTACTGAGGTCTCTCTCCACAGTGGTCAGCAAGATGGTGTGGGCACCTTACTCTTCCAGCTGTGACCTCAACTCCAAGTACAGGGTCTGGGGTGAGGCCTGGATTCTCTAACATTTCTGAGCACCTGTGTGCAGGCACCACACCTGCTGGGAGGAGATGCAGCCAAGCCCAGTGGCTGGCTCCATGGGAAGGGCATGAGCAGTGGGGGTAGAGTTGTGGAATGTTTATTCAGATGCTGTGTATGTGAAAACAGGAAAGCGCTCTAGACCAGTCAAAGTGGTGTTGACAGTTCAAAAACCACCACCCGAAGTGTGGAGCCTGCACAGAGGTACAAGGAGAAAACATAACGCTATGCCAGTGCAGTGTAGGGAGGCAGATGACACCAAGTTGGATCTTGAGATGAGCTGTTGGTTACCAGGTGGATGAAGGGAAGAGCCTGGCCAGCAAAGGGAAGTCTTAGAACTAAAGGCCAGTCCTCAGATGGGACCATGTGTGGAGAAATTGTGTGGTTCCTGGGGAAACTGGTGTATCTGCTTTGCATGGTACCAAATACCTACTCAAATGTTTGCTGCTGTTATTCAGGCCCAGGAACTTGGCCATGACTTAGAGCATGCAGATATCTCCCAATAGCCCAGAGTGCTGTCTAGCTCATATGCGTCTCTGGGCCCTTCTGTGAGCACCATCCGCTTGCTCTGGACCCGTGCTGCTCCACTAGGCAGGATCATGCCGAGGCCCTCTCTCCTAAGATTAACTGCCAAAGCCCCCCTTCCCAGGATGTCTGAGCCATGTGAGGTTCTGCATGGAGCTAGGAGAGCGGTCTTCTCCCCAGATGTGACAAAAAAACGAGCTACTTGTAGACGCGGGGGCCTTGCTGTGGACCCCAGAATCCCACAGTGTTTTTCTTAAATATTGTTCCTTCAGCTTCTTGCTCCTGCTCTGGAGCTCCTGGTAGAAACTGCTCCAACCAAAAATTTGCTGCTGAAGTTTAAGGTGCAGTTTGGCTAGTTAAGAACAGGGCCCTGGAGTTAAATCTTGTAGCTAACCATTGCCGTTTAGGAGTCCTGTGGCCTTGGATTTTTAAATTCTCTAAGCCTTGTTTTCCTTTTCTGTAACCAAAGGTTGATAATAAGGGCACCCAGCACCTATCCACTGGCTTGTGAGGATAAGACAAAAATAAGATGCTGTACTAATTGTGTCATTAATTGTGCCCTTGACATGACATGTAAACTTTTACTATCTTACACTCTTGAACTTACTAATTTTTTTTTTAAAAATTGGAAACAGAGCTAGATAGAGCAGGGTGAGCTACACTTCTGCCTGGGGAAGGCATACAGACCGCCCGGCACAGCTGGCAAGGCTGAGGACTGCGTGCTAAAACCACACCAACCGTGTTCAAGAAAACAGGAGAGTGAATTGCAGGCCAAGTAAACAGTGTGAACAAGGCAGGAAGACCCACTTTTCATGGCTTTTTTTACCCAGACACCAGACCCTGAGGAACCCAACTCAGTCCCCTCACCGAGGACATGTGCTCTGTCGTTGGAAAACAATGTGTCCCCAACCTCTGGCATCCTCTGGTTTGCTGATAGAAACCCCTCTTTCTTATGTAGGGAGATATCTTCCCTGTTCCTTCCTGGGCCCTAACCCTTAAATTATTGCAAGAGGCAAAAAAAAAAAAAAAAAAAATTCCCCCGATTAAATACGTTTATGGTACAAAATTTGGAAATACAGAAAAGCACAAAGAAAATAAAAATTCTTATCTTTACTGTCCAGATAAGAGAGAATGTTTTTATACTCTGATCTTTTGTCCTATAAATAAAAGTTTCCCCTTTTTACAAATGAGTACATCAAGGCTTAGAGAGGTGAAGTGTCTTGTCCCAGGTCCCAGTCAGAAGACAGCTGAGTCCAGGTCAGCCTGACTGCAAAGTCTAGTGCCATGCTATGTTTTCTAGATTTATCTTTGTATTCTCCTTGGTGTGCTTTGGGTAAAATGTTAGCAAATGTCACCATTAGGAAATTGGGGATAGTGTAATTTTATTCATTAAAATATGCATATATTTAACCATTGGTTATTTAAATAAAAGCTAATAGGTCCTTTGGATGGAATACTACATGGGAAGCAGGAGACGTGGTCTCTGCACAGCTGAAGTGATCTGCAGTTCTTTCCATTCATAGCATTTATGATTCATCACTCTGATATTAAGACCATCTAAAAGTTTAAAACACGAAATGTACCAAGTTGGGGTGCATTAACTCTGATGTTTTATGGACAGGCACCTCATACCAGTGGCAAAACTCTAAATTATGGCTGCAAATGCACTTATATTAAAAAGAAAGCATATATTTCTATTTATATAATTTAAAAATTCAGAATGTGGTAAGTCACCAAAAATTTTCATTAACCAATGGAAAAGTGCTTCCTTTTCAGATGCCTTGGGAATTATCTAAGTGGGTGCCTGATTTACTCCCACCAGTGCTGCTTTAGAAAAACAACCTCCTGTAATATTAAAGGGGATCCTTCCCCTTCCTACCAAAAAAAAAAAAAAAAAATCTAGTTACATTTAACATCTCACTCAAAATGTATTCAGTGGCTACAGTTTTCAGGCCCTGTACTTTTTGACAAGGAGATGAAAAGACAGTCTTTAGCCTTTGTTTTTAGTACTCAGAAAAAATTTTAGTTTTACAGGTTTTTGTCCAGATGCCAGCATTTTGGAGGTTCCCTGCCAGAATTGACTAGAATCTCTTTACCTGTAGTGATTTCCGACGTTGACGTCAAGCCTGCCTCCCGGCCAGTTTCCCTCATTGGTTTTACTTGTTGAAAGATCCTCTTTTTACCTGTATTTTTAAATCCAACGTAGGACTTATCAGTGCCTAACACATACTAATTATTCAAATAATACTCATTTTAAGAAAATGAATGAGATTGGCATTATGTTAATGTATTAATCCAACAAATTTATTGAGTACCAACCAACAATTTTTGTTTTCCAGGGACTTTGTGTCATTGGGTACAGATAACTCAGTCACTAAGCAGTGGGTCAGAGGTTGGGATGGGCCTAAGCACAGGCATCTGTGGGGCACAAATAGGAGGACTTCAATGACTTTTGGAATAGAGAATGCTTTAGGGACTGTGGAATTCTTCCTCAGAAATGATCTAAGAATTTGTGAATGTGTTGCTATTTCGTGACATAAGTGTTACCTTTAGGAGGTAATCAACAGAAGATTGTCTTCTAATTAATTCTAACATCTCCAGCATGAAGTACTGTAATTTGAGAGAATATTGGTAATTTACTTTATCATCATTCACTTAGGACTGGTTTGCTCAGCTTAAAGCAATGCCAACCTCATCAAACTCATTTGTATCTTTGTGCTCTGAGAGATCTGCTTGTCCTGGGTTTAAGGCTGGTGAGGGAGTGTTTGGTTGGATCTGAGTAATTGCCGATGGGTCAAAATCAGCTGAAAATACCTATTCTCCTTATAGTGAACCAAAGAGATAAAGGACGCCATTATAATGAAAGCTGCTTGCTTGGTCAACACACTGAGCATCACTGCCAGTTTCATTTTGAAGTCTCCCCAGCTATAGGGACCCAATGGGGCTGTACTGTGTTTAGTTCGAGGCACGAAGAAAACAAAGTTCTATTTGCCAGTGATTTACCGCTTTACATTGGTCCTGATGAACAGGGTAGAGGGAAGACCAAATTGTGGAAAGTAAGGAGGAGAGTGGAAGCCAGAACTCCAAGCTTTTTTTACTCCCCTCATTATTACATTTGTGTGGTTTGATAAAAAATAGTGTATTCAGGCCATGGAAGTTAGAAAAGGAATTTTAATCAATCTTCATCGACTTCAAAGGGAACATGCTTTAGAAAACAAAATCATGCCATCAAAAAGATAAATCTATTGTGACATTCTCACAACCAACCTACCAGAGTGGGGTTTCTACTATTCTTTAAAGGTATCTAGCCCCAGAAAATAGTCTTTCTTACGATCCACTTACTTAGGAATGGGAGGGTACTTTTAATCCCAAATCTTCACATCCCAAAATTCAACCTAAGATTAAAAAGAAATGAAACCAAGCTCCTAGCTCCAAGTTAATCACTGATACTGCATTAGGGAAATGGACTTTCTGAAGTACCCTCGTATTTTGCACCTGGCAAAACAATACAATCATTATTTTGTTTTTGCTGGAAAATGAAATTTCATTTTTTGGTACAGATTAATGCATTTCTTCAGAAGATCCAAGAAAACATTTAATTAGAATTGAAGACTTATTAGGCAGAAACAAACATTAATGGTTAGTAGACTGAGCTTCCTTTCATTGAAAAAGGAAAGGTGAAGGAACACCAGCTCCTTTTCCCGTTTATCATTTCTCCTGCTTCATGGAATATTTTTTATTACCCCAGAAGCTTGTGCTAACTACATACAAAACAATTTAAAGTTAAGATTAATCTAAGAAAATTTAGTGAGCTGCTAATTGAGACAGTGAATCAGGACTACATAGTTTAATAAATCCAAAGAGAATTTAATAATTAGCTTAATGCACAGGTATTTTTTTTGTATTCTGCCCATTCACTGAACTTGGAAACCCACTTACATGTGGAAGAGGAACAACACTCCTTAGTACTGTTATTGAAATTATGAAATTCCTCAAATATAAAAAGACTTTTGACAGCTTTTCATGAGAAGTCAGTTACATTGTCACCCCTCTTGTTTTTCTGGACCTATTTTGCTTAATCCCATATAAAATTGACTGCTAACCCAATTTTGTGCTCAGCACTAATTTGGAAGCCGAAAAATTATGGGATAAATACAAAATATAGTTCCATCCCAAATATCACAAGCCTTTTAAAAAATGGCAACACGTGTAGAATAAAAGTTAATAAAGGACAAGGTTTGCTGAGACTGAGCACGTTCTGCTGACTCTTATCAACTGTGTCAAGAGGGGAGAAAGGCTTTGGCTTCCCGGATCTTCTGCTTCACGCCTCTGCAGGACAACGTCAGCCCAGCGTGATGGCGCTTCAGGGATTCCAGCCGCCGACTGAGCAGCTCAGCCTTTTCCACCTTTTCTTCCAAGTCCCGAAGGAGTGATTCCTTGCCCAGGAGCCCACACTTCTGATTCAGCCTGATGTTGTCAATCCGCAGGCTGTCTCGGGCTTTCTTAGTCTTGGTCAAGATATCCCTTCCTAGGGCCACCTGAGACTCAATTTCCGAAAGCTGTGCCTTTTTGCATGCATTTTCCATATCCATAAAGTGCAACTTTTCCTTCACATGGGTTACTATTTGCACATTGTTGGTCACCTTGTTGCGCAGTTTCAAAAGTTCCTCATTTCGTTCCTCAGCTTTCTCATTGAAGGTCTGGTTCTCAATCTTAAGCTGTTCAAAATCGATGAAGAGCAGACCCTCGCTCAACTCCTCCTGCGCCTTCATCCTGGTTTCAAAATGCACCAGGCTCTGCTTCAGCTGCACGTTCTCTAGCCGCACAGCGCTCATTTCCTTTTCCTTTTTATCCTCCAGCGCCTGGATCTGCTCCACCTCCCGCAGAGCAGCCTGGCGCCCACCCCTCATCCGACAGCTGCCCATGGCCTGCATCACCACCTGCTTCTTGAGGGCCTGGAAACCTCGCCACTCCTTCTCCACCCCGGCGAGCTTCTCCTGGCACTGCTGCTTCAGCTGGTCCAGTTCCTGGTGGTACCACGCCAGGTCGTCTGCCTGTTGCTTCCTCAGCTCCTCCAGCACGGCCAGATAGCGCAAGTACGCCTGCTCTTTCTCGGGGGCCTCGGCCTCCACGCCCTTGTCGGGCACCTCGGCCGCGTCCAGGCCCTTCTTCTTGCGCAGCGCCTCCACGATCTGGTGCTGCAGGTACACGTTGTAGCGCTGGTAGCGGCTCCGCTCCACCAGCAGCGAGCGGTACTGCTCCAGGAGCTCGCTGCGCAGCTGCTGCTCCTGCAGCCTGCGGACCTCTTCGGGCCACTCCAAGTCCTCCTCGGCCGGAGACTGCCGCCTCTCGCCACTTGTCGCCGCGTGTGCTTCCGCGCCCTCGTCCTCCCCCTCCGAGCTCTCTCTCTCGGCCTCCGGGGCTGGCGCAGCCTTTTCCCCGCCGGCCGTGGACAGCGGCAGAGAGGCCCAGGACGGGGCTTCCCTCGTCTCCCCCTCCTCCTGCTCCTCTTCCGCGGCCGTCCCCGGTTCCTGGGGGCCCGCTTCGGGTTCCGGCTTGGCTGGCTCCTCGTCCCCGGCCTCGGCCCTCTCCTCGGGCTCGGGCTCGGACGGCCTCCCCGGCGCTCCGGAGCCCCCCTCGCCCGCAGTCTCTGTGGCCGCCGGCCCTTCCGGGGTTCCGGCCTGCGCGTACGCGGCGGCGCCTCCCTCCGAAGCCTCTACCTTCTCCGCCTCCGGCTCCCTCTCCGGCTCCCGGTCCGGCTCCGGCTCCGCGGGTTCGGCCGGGCTCTGGGGGCCAGAGCTGGCCTTGCTCTCGGACGGCCTCGAGGCCAGGCCGCCCTCATCTCCGCTGTCCCCCTCGCTGCCCCCAGTGTGCTCCGACTGGCCGTCCATCCCCGCCAGGCTCGCCTAGGGCCGCTGACCCCAGCTGCAGGCTGTTAGGTTTCCCGGGGCAACCAAGAGCGCGCGCGGTGGGCCCGGCGATTGGCTAGGTGTCGGTGCGACGCCCTGCCCCTCCTCCCCGCCTCCCGGCAAGAGCGGACCAATGGGAGGCCGCGAGCGGGCGGCGGACGGGATTGATTGGAAGAGGGCCTAGGCTCGCGGCGCGCCCGCCCGACTTCCTGTCCGCGCGTTTCCCACCGCCAGGCCTGGGGCGGAGCGTCCGGGGCGG